TATGACTCAAAGTATTCTGTTTCTTTATTGACTCCCAGGCCAGCAAGATTTTGGCCAGTTTTGGGTGGTAAAATGAAAATACTATTACCAAGAGGCTTGGAAAATTAGAATAGATTGCACATCTAAAGCCTCCTGACCACGAGAAAATCCCACAGCCTTGTGAATCGTGCTGCTCCAGGCACCTCTGCTCCACAGCCCCTTCTGCCGTACACGGCACAATCCCATCTCAACACGTGTTGGTAGGAGATGGAATCTTTGTGCTTGCCCTCTGGATAACCTTTTCCCTCCCCCCTCTGTCATTTAGAGGAGACACAAGCTTTTCCTAAAAAAATAAGGCAAGTTTTGCAGTCCTTCGTGCAGCTCAGGGATGTCCATGGTGAGGCCACTCCAAAAGGCAGCACAGCGCAGTGCCTTTTTTGAGGAAGCTCCATCCAGGACAGGCTGGGGACACTCAGAACACAGCTCTGCTGTTCCTCTCCACGTCCCGTGGGCTCGTAGCCCCTCAGCACTACCGGCTGCAGTCCAACCTTCTGAGGCACTGCAGCTAAAGCAGGGGAGAAGGCACTCTGCCACACTGGTGGTGTCTGAAAACAAGGTGCCCTAGGAGACTGGAAGAGCCTGCTTTGCAGACCTACTCTCACAGCTGCTGCTTGCCACGGCTAGGTTCATCCTTCCACCCAAAGCTCACTGCACTGTGTCCCTTCTCCACCGCTGCCTGACCTGGATAACAACCAGACCCCAAGCAGGACCTTGAGGACAGGAGAAGAAACCCACTCCCTTTCTCTTCTCTGACCTTGTAGAGCACTGACATCCAGCCACTCAAAATAGGCATCCCAGATGCCCACATGTTTTGGACAAATCTTTTCATTTACTATACTAAGCTGTGGAAGTAGGACCAAAGCAGACAGTAAGGGATGAAGTCATGGTTCCATAGCTGCGGTGCTGAAATCTGCACTGCCTTTAAACATCTTGAGCTGTTTTGAATAGGCAACACAAGATCAGCATCAGAACAAACTGCTGACTTCGTCCTACAGCCTTCCCAGCCGCCCAGTCCTTCTGCCCAGGCTGCAGCATGGTTTCATTACTTAGAGTCAAAAGTGCAGATTAAAGGGCTGCAGAGAGCATTACCAGAAGCAGGTAAAAACCACATCAGATCTTCTGTGCATTTCACCACAAAGGTAACAGAAGTGCAATCACTGAACACGCACAACCATTTTGCTGTTGCAAGTACATCTACTAAACATCCAGAGCCAATGAGCAACTCCTTAGTGAACAGAAAGCACAGGAAATCTCACTCAAGTCCATAAGGCCACATTACAAAAAAAAAAAAAACAGATGAATGGAAATGTAGCATCTCCATCATGCTCCTGGAGTGCCAGAGGTACAGCCACGGTTGGAATGGAAACCCCTGGATAGAACAGGTGGCTCTTCATGGAGGGAGCCAACCACAAACTATCTCTTGAGCCAGTAATCAGCGACAGTTTTTCTGAGGAACTTTCCTGTCAATTAAAACACATTGGTCTTGAACGGCGTGGCTATTCACTACAATTTCTGTTTTTCAAGAAGACCTTTGCTTTGCATCGTGCTGCCAGACAGACCCACAACCCCTGTGGCACATTGAAAGCCACTCAGGTTGCTGAGGGGGCAAGTCTACAGCACCTCTGTGTTCAATGGCCCTTCATAAACCTCTTTCCAGACCAATGAGCCTATTAATTCAAACTGGGGATGAGATCATATGAAAAAACAGGGTGAAGAAATGCTCTTGATTTACTTTCAGCAAATATTTGATGACATGATGAGTTCAGTGGGTTTGAATTACATCTTGGTTGGCTTCACTGTTCTACTACACGCTATGAAAGGGAGGAGATGAACAGCATCGAACTGTGCGTGACAGATTGCACACACAAAAAAAGTACTAACCAAACACTTCCCATCCTCTAATTAGATTTCTAACTAAAACCAGGCCACGCAGAGCGAAATCAAGAATACCTATCTCAGCAAAAAGATTGTGAAAGGATTGGAAATGTAGGTTGAAATAGAATGCAATCAAAGGGGGAAGAAAGAGGGAACTGAAAAGTGTTGGAAGGATTTAAAAATAAATGAGTATGTGCCTAAGGATCAGGCCTGCTGCTTCACACTTAAACACACCAGGACTGGAAAAGGCCAGCAAGGATGAAAGCAAACAAACAAACAAAAACCCAACCAACCGCCAAGAAAGTGCCTGAAGCAGCGCTGAAAAAGAGGTGCAACAGAAGGAGATGGAAATGAAGGGAGATTCACGGATGGAGGAAGAAGGAAATAGACAGACATGGCCCCATGACATGAAGCAGAGCAGCTCAGCCCTAGCCCTGACCACAACTGCTCCATGGCTCTGGTGCTGCAGGAGCTGGGCTCTCCAGTAGCTTTGTTTGCTCAAGGGCAATAACTGCAATGCTTCCTCTCCCCTTTACTAAAAGGCACAGCTGCCTTACAAGGACGAGGAGTTAGAAGAAGGAAAGCTCTTTCCATCTCTGTTCCTTGATCCCTCCTCCTATGCAACAAATAAAATTGAAGCAATTTAAGTTGGGGGCTTGCCAAGAATATCTTCTGCAAATGCATTCACTGTCATTATATGACAGATGTCCACATTTCCGTAACGTTTCAGCTGAGCTTATCGGCCCTGAAATTCTACCCTCACAAAATCCAGGGATATCTCCAGTTAACGGACATGTGGATGCCAGACCCTGATCTCACTTCCCCCAGTGTAAGACCAACCCTGTGAGGACTCTGCTGTTTGCAGCTATCTGGAACTACTTGCTCACATAACCGAGCACTAGCACAGCCCAGGGAGCTGTAACCGAGATCCAGATCCATTATTTGCTCCTTGCATATTTTCTTAATTATGGCAGGGTATCTTCATTAGAATATGCACAGAGTTCTGGTCTGGCTACAGCAGAGCTGTACTACTGTGCACTGTTATGGATGTCAGCAGCAGAACTTGATCCCCAGGGATGCTGTAGCTTCATGGACATTCAGCGGCAGCAGCAAAGGCAGAACCCTGGGCTGCAGGGAGCTGGATGCAAAAAGGATGCTGAAAGGATAGGGGAGAAAGAAGAAAAGCACAGCATGAGGAGTGAAAAAGTCTCGACTGCCCCTGCACCAGGATGCCATCAGGGCAGTGACACACAAGCGAAAGGCACACTCTTGCTGCAGCACTGGTGAAATTTTAAGGCACAACAACAGAACTGAGAGCTGTGCCAAAAAACCTTCATCAGTTGTGTCGCTTGCTGGGTGTTTTCAGCTGATTTGTTAAAAGCTCTTAGTCTGGCTTGAAGCCTAATAAACTTCCACTCCTCCCATTCAGAGGAAGGGAACCAGTGCCAGGAGCCATGGGGTTTCCACTCCATGTCCTTGCCTGTGAGGTGGGACCTGACTGTGGCTGACAGCACGGCCATGGCTTTAGTCACAGGAACAACAAACTGCCAGAGTTGAACTCTACTGCAGATCCCAGTGCCAACAGAACCAATCGTGAGACAAACTTGGACCTGTGTACTTAAAACACAAAGCAGCTGCAGCTCAGCACACCTGCAGCCCCACGACAGCAATGTGTGGCACCTACATGCTCAGGCTCTACTTTTACAAGCACTGCTTTCTGGCTTTGGCACCCATCTGAGATTTCTAATGAACTCTACATGCACAGCTCGGCTGTTCCAGTCTCTGGCAAGATCAGAAATGCACATCACTGGGACTCCACCTGACACCCCTGACCCTACACGGATAAAACACACGGTCACTTCTAAAGATTTTGCCCACAAAGAATCTTCTGCACAATTTATCCCCCAAAGCCATCCCACACCTGAAACAAATCACAACTCTGTTCATGTTTGCTTTGAGCACCTTTTTCATCAAGAAAATATTCTTTATCAGCAAAGATCAACTGTTGTCTTTCCTACTGATGGCTGTATGCATGTTCGTGGGGAGACGTTCAGACATGCTTGCAGTCCTTCTCATCCAGATCAACACATTTGGGTACAGAGAAATTAAGTAAGTGGCTCACGGTCATACAGCAAGTCAAGAGCAAAACAAGAGCTACAGAGGCCCTTCCAACTGTCATATTATGGGTGAGAAAGAAGCTTGGCTTACAATCAACCAAAAGAAAAGAAATCCTTAGCCTGGCTGAAATCATCTAGCTAAATCAATTTGCATTTTGGGTGATACAAACGGATATATCTGAGTCACTGGATTTTACTTCTTAATACTCTTCATTTTTGTCTTGAATTTTACATTCAAATCAGAATACTTTACATTTAATAAGAAGCACTTCCACTCTTCAGACTGATGTCTTCTTTTAAACTAAGCACAACTTCTTTTATTTTCCAGTGAGCACCTTCATTTGGAGACACTGGATTTTCCTAAGGATTATTCAGTGAAACACGATAGAAATATGCACCAGCATAACAAGAAAATGACAAGCATCTTTGATTCATTCTTAATGAAATTCTATGCTTTCCATTCTTATATTGGGAGAACCTTTCAGATTTGCTTAGTTATTCAATTTGATTTTTTGTTTTTATGCACAGAATATACAAATAATATAACTCAATTATTATTACTTAAAACATTTGCTTTCCAGAGCAAAACATTTTGGTTAACCTCTAGAAAATACTTGATTTTTTAATGACAAGAAGAACTTGGAATAGTACCAGCGTACAGGTTCGCTTCTCTTATTTTCATCCCTCACATCAATTTTTAACTATCAGCAACAGCTTCCAGCGAATTTTTCTTAGCAAGTTATCAACGCCCGTGAAGGAGAAAAATGCATGAAGTACTGTCACAGCCTTCAGTAAATACCCCACTCAGTACCAAGCAAGACGAACAAAAGATGTGAGTGTCTTTGATTCCCCAGATGACCAATCTGAGCGTTCAGATGCAGCAGCGCCCAAGGACATGCAGTTGAGCACCAGGCCTTCAGCGCTGCTGTCTAGCTGCCGGCTACTGTTCCCACAGCAAAAGTCACCCACCTGGGGCAGCACGCGATTTTCCTCCTCCAGCTGTCTTACTCTTGCCTCCAGCTGCCTAACATAGGACAAGGTTGATTCTAAAATCAAAAAGAGAAAAACTCGTATTATCCACACAGCTCTGCTTGCGTACGCTGGTGTCACAGCCTGGCTCTGCCTCGTGCTGGCCGCAGGTTCCCCATCTGATGGCTGCCCAGCGCTGCTCCTCTCAAGGGCAGGGCAGGTAATGGTGTCCTCTGCCACCAGCTGGCTGCCTTGGCATGGCTCAAGTGCTGCTTGAACCCAGACATACGTGCCCAGCACCCTGAGAGAGGCCAAGGTCAGGCAACGTGTGCCCAAGAGCCCAGGCATAGCGCTGCTGGCAGCCCGTGTTCCTCATTCCACTCACACAGACACGCTGCTGTGCTGCACAGACTCGTGGCAGGGCAAAATCCTGCCCCCTCTACTGATGGGCAACCTCTCAGACCTTCCTGAAAGCATTTGGTTGGTTATGGAGAAGAGACTTCCCATGGTATGAGTACTGAAAGAGCATCTCTGTGCTGCCTTCAGTGGCCTTATTTCCCTTGCGTTGATTCCAAGGAGAAGGTCCACAATCAGTTCTCAAAAATGTCTCAGAGTTTTCTTATGGTGCATTTCTTGGGTTGCACACTGTGTCTGCTATTAAAACGCTATACCTAAAAGAAATGCGCCACAGCAAGTAGCACTTGTCACCTGCAAGAGAAAAGATGTCCTCTTGGTCCAGAATGGCTGTAGTGAGCCTCATGCCTCCCTGTACAGAGCTGCAAGCTCAACAGGTACACATTCCCCATCCAATGAGCTGCCCTGCCTTCCCTGAAATGTCCATCCTACCACCACACCTGTGCTCACACAGCCATGCCAACACAGAAATTGCACCTTGGATGATTAATGGCATGGAACCCATGGGTATTGGGGCAGTACTGCCTGTTGCCACAGACTTGCAAAGCTGCACTGGCAACAGCAGAGCTAAATTTGGGCACCAGCTTCCTCTGATATCTAAATGGTGATGGGTCAATGTTTGGACTAGATGATTTTTTAGTGCTCTTCTCCTTAATGACTTTATGATTCTATCAGTCATGATGCCAGCCGGCCCATAAAAGACCAGCAGCAGGAAATGAGGGGGCACTTACCGCTCTCACAAGACTGCAGCAGGTTAAAATATGCACACGTGGATAGTGCATAGCAATTTACACGACAAGAAGACAACACACCATAATTTGTCAAAAATGATTAATACACAGCAAGGCACAGAGCAAGTATTAAAACAGCACTGTGCAATAAAAGGGAGAGAGGTAATCTGAGGCTCTTCATGCTCTGCTGCATAAGGATTTTCATAGCTAGCGATGGGTCCATCTCTGGAGAGTCACTAAGCATGGTTTGGATGAGCCCTCCTGAGATGAACAGCTCATACCATTAACTCTGTACGACAGGGTGCCTCCTACCAACCATTAGCACTGTACGACAGGGTGCCTCCCCCCAGACCCAGGTCCAGCCCAGCAGCAGCACTCCTGGGAGGAGCTGCTCCATTGCTATCGTGGCTGAGGCAGAGGCAGCATCTGCCTCGCATCTCAGCCCTCTTCCCCATGGCTTTCTGCAGAAGATGGTCCCTGCATAGCCACCCTTCTGGAGGGACCACTGGGTGCCTTCCTTGGCACCAACCCTCCCTGAACCCACTGGTTACATGCTCACTGCCACGTGGGCTCGGGCTCTGTGGTGATGTTCAGCTTCCCAACTGTGCCCAACAGTCCTCACAAATTCCCATCTGCATTCTCTTTGGGTTTTTTGTCCTTTTCCGTGTTACCATGATGAGCTCCTCAGACAGTGTACAGCCCTTGGCAAAGCCATCCCCTCACTTCTGTTTCTTCAGCCAGTGTGGAGGTCTCTGCTGCCCTAGCCTTGCTTCACCAAAGCCTCCTTGCTCCTTAACCCCTCTAAAGTGTGAAACATGTATTTAAATCTTTTTGTAATATGATTAAAACTGAAAATTAGGTCAGCTACAAAAGGCTTGATCTAGCAAATCCTTATTTATGCGAGTATTCTTGACACAAAGACTAGACACATATATATTTCAGTATCTCTTCATATATTTATGCTCTGATGCTATGAGCTGAGAGGAAAAACTGAACAGAAAAGGCAGCCAAGGACACAAGAGATGAAGGCACTGGAAGTACATAATGAAACAATGTCACCAGTGATGGCAACAGCAAAATTAAAAAAAAAAGAAAAAAAAAAAGTACAAGAAGGATTATATGAACCATCTATTCTTAATCAGCCCGGAGATCAGTAAAGAGCAATAAATAAAGAGCAAACCAACACTGCTGTTCAGGTTGCAGCCACCCTTTCCCAAACTGAGTTATCTAATGCTGCTGGTTACTCAGAAAGCCATGCCTTATCTGCACATCCTAAGGGTCACGGATGCAAATTCTTACAGATACACTTCCACACCCAAACATACTGAGTTTCTCATGTCCACAGCCCAATAGTGAGGGGATGCCATGTGTGTTAACAACCCCAAAGCCCAACTGCTGAGCTCTGAGCAACGCACAACAGCTGTTAACTATGCTAAGATGGAGCACGCCCTCATAAGAACAGACACACGACTGAATCATTTAGGCTAACAGAGAGATGAGCCGCAACACTGCAGTGGCCAAACTACCACCAGTGGTGGTGGGGGGTCCTGGTTATGCCATTTCTGCCCTTTCCCAACTCTCTTTGCCAGACACTTCAACCAGAGCAGCAATTTTGAACAACTCCCATGCTCATGGATGGGTTCCTACCAAGCCAACATCCCTATTACAGCTTCCTGTGCTCAAAGCACAGCTGAAAATGATTGCTGTGCAGTGCTTCACTACAGGACTGAGACTAAAACTCTTTTCCATGTTATGATGGAGGCAGTAACATCTTGCTTTTAGGAAAATTCCGTGACAATCTGCCCCGTTTCCATATCCATCATTCTACCACGTTAATAGAGAACATCAGTATTTACATAGCTGAGCTCTTTTTCTTTTGACGTCCACACTCTTGAAGCTACTAGATATTTTTGGTTTATGTCAAATTGTATCAGACGCCAAGGGCGTATTTGTGCCTTGGCTTTATCCATTTTCATGTGACAGTGCCTGTTCTCAATCTATCAAGTAATTTGCAATGTTCTTTAAGCTAGATTATCCTCTGCTATTTTAGAATGGTTGAGGATGTCACATGAAATTCTAGGTTTCTAAGGACACTTTCCATCTATTTTTTTTCTGGATTTGGGTATTTTGTTGGGCTTTGGTTTTTCTCCCTTATTAAGGTAGTAATAAGGAAGCATCGATGCCTTGAGCACAAAGCCAAAAGCTGCATGTAGCACTGACAGCCCAGCAGGAGAAAGTAATGCAGGGCTGGGGAGTGCGAGGCAGCATGCTGCAAGGATAACAGATCTGCTCATTTTTCTGCTGTTTGTGTGAAACTGTGTTCAACAGATAACAACGAGCATAATGGTTATTGTGCCAACTTCTGCTTCTGCCTGTTACAAATCAAATATTATATGACAAAACCAAATCATTAACAACATTGAAACATACTCTGGGCATCTGTCCACCCGATCTCACTTTTCCAGCTTTGGAGATGCTCATACCAGCACAGTCTCGGGGTGATTTTTCTAGAAATCATAATTACCTCTAGTACCTTCTCTCAGATCTGCAAAAAGCGACCACGAGCTATATGCAGACCTCCTTTTGACCAACTCCAAAGCATAAAGCTGTCAGTGTAGAACATGCTACTTGGTTGATGGATGTTAAAAGCTTGTGTAGAACCTTCTACTTCGGAGAAAACTGGTAGTACAGTGGATAAGCAAAGCACATAAGCCACAGGAAGCAGAGAAAGTCCTTCAAGCTGAAAATACTTGGAGGCTGGAGGTATCAGGAGAGGAGAGTACTACTGTTTGCCCTGACCCCTAGCCATTACCTTATGGCCAGGGAAGATGCGAGGCTGCACAGCCTGCTGCCCTGGAGCCATCCTTACCTCCTCGTGGCCAGAAAAAGGAAAAACGTGATTTCATGGGGAGGCAAACATCACCTTGCTTCTGTTAACATCAACGTTTTGTGCTTCCACTGCCTCAGCTCACTTGGTGCTCATGTGCCTAAAGGAGGTCACCAGAATCTGTAGAGCTGTCACATCCCAGCACGCATACTTTAAACACGTGCAGTACAAATGAGTGAAACTGCCCACAATTTACTACAGTAAAGAATTCAGCGTGTTATGTGAAGTGCTACTTTCATGTGTAACAATTCAGTTGAGGCATATTCAACTTCAACAGGAAAAGTCACTTCTTGTTCTCCCCGCACTGTGGTGGCAGATGCATATCAAAACAGATTTTGGTCATTCTGATCCACACCCAGTATCCCGCAATGAAAACAAAATCATCTTTCAATAAATGAGAGATGAACAGCAAGACTGAGCAAGGGCTACGTTAAATGCTCCTGTAATTAACTGACAGCTTCATACATTTATGAAAGGGTTTCTATGCTAACTGAGAAGCAGATTCAACGACACGTAAAACATTTCCCCGTCCTATAATTCCTAGACATCTGATTTAATTACTTCAAAATGAATATTCATGACTAAAACATGTTATTACTGCAATCCATCCCCTTTCAGCTGCTTTGCATACGAGAAAAGCCCCACTGCTGGCTTTACACCAAGGAAGATGTTGCACCACCTGCATCTCTCCGTGGGTGAAGCTGCTAAGCCCAGCAGCATCCAGCCTCCAGCATGGACACACGATGGCCTCTGAAGGGCATCTGTAGCCCTGTCTGCTATGATTTTCTGTTAAGGCTGCACACCTTACATAACGCTCCTATTGAAAAAATGCTGGAGAAATACTTCTTACAGTGGTGGCAGAATCGCCCTGCAAACAAGCAACATTAGGATTGGTGTTATCACGGGGAAAACTTTGATGAAGCTCACCAGAACATTCAGGTGCTGCTTACTGATGGGGCACGTACTCTGGGAAAGTTTTGTGACAGCAAACACCACAGCATTAGGGCTAAGTTGGGGCTGGTGACTCAGCACTGCTGCTGTCCAAAATTCTCCCAGCCCAAGCTGAGATTTCCCTTCATTACGGCTCCTGCCCTTCTCAACTTCTTTATTTGATTATAACTATCATTAACTAAGCTCACTCACTCAGTACTTCAAAACTGGAGAAAAGAGAAAAATGCACATACGTTCTTTCTAACATCCAGACTGCAGTGTTAGGTGACAGACCTAGCTTTATTTCTCAGGCAATGTGTGCCAGGGTTCCCCATTTCAGAGCACACTACACATCGAAGTGCCAATTAGGATACCTCTATAATCAGATATTTTTACCCTGATTTTGTATGAAAATAGATTTTCCCAGTTGCAGTGGCATTTAATCACGAATTACCTATTTAGTACAAGGAAAATACTTCTCAGTGCCTTGAGGCAGCCTTAGCCATACTCTCATAGAGAAGGATTTGCCTACAGGGATCCCTAAAAATGACATCAAATAGTAGATGAGGTAAGGCTGTGTGTCCCACTTCTCAGAAGCTATCCATCGTGCTCTTGCTATCAGCTGGATAACACATCACACTAATGGCTTGCTGTAATACTACCCTTCATTTGTTTGGATTTCTGGACACCAGAAATGACAACAGCAAAGCTTTTTTCCCCAGCCTGCTTGCTATCCTGTTAGCTCCACTTCAGCCTGTGCTACGTTATTTGATGAAAACTGCCACGTTATTGATGAAAACTGAGGAAAATCAAATCTCTTGTGCTACTGCTAAAGCCTTTGCCACTGCCTGTTGGCTTGTTCTCTCAGTTTTGTGTGGTTTGCAACTGGCAAAGCCCTTACTGGCTCCTGGGCTGCTTGGGTTCATCCTGATGTCACCACAGTCCTTTTGCTCCTTGACGGCAGCCTGAGCCCAGAGAGCAGTGCTACAGCAAGCTCTAGTTAATAAATTACACTGGCTTCCACTGGGAGCTCTGTAATGCAGGCTGCAACTGAAAGCGAAACTTCCAGTGATCCTGAATTAGAACAAACCCATAAATCATTTCTCTGCTCATCTACTTCAGTTAAGAAGTAGATTTACCCAACCCATAAAGTCCCCATGAAGAGGGTCACTATCTGCCTGACTCCAAATCAAGTTCAAATGGTGTCCTTGAGAGTAAAACCAGAAGTCTTCACCTTAGGCCAGCAAACACCAGCACATACTCTTGCTGACAGCAGAAAGGCTTTCAGAATGCAGCCTGCGGGACAAGGAGAGCAATGTTTACAGTCAACACGCACAGGAGGGATGGCAAATGTTGGAACCAAATGAAGAAATCAATTCCATAAGTAATGTCAGTGAAGAAAAGGAAAAGGTAAGGAGGCAGAAAAGAAAAAAACAAGAAATGCATCATTTGGGTTTATTGCCAGAGTCGTAAACATTTCCAAGAAGGTCTTACTACGTCAAAAGCTCTGCCAACATACAACTTCATATTGGAATAATGAGTCAGACTTCCTAGTGAGCACTGCAGCTAGTTTTGAGTCTCCAAGCCATGCAGCTTTCCCACAGCCCCCTAGTGTTCTGCCTGGGCACAGGGTGGACTAGGGAGCACCCAGTTCTGGGCCATGCATGGCAGAGATGAAACACTGAATAGAGCAGGGCTCCAAAGGGAAGAGAAGCACCATGGGTGAGCGAAGCACTGCCACAACAGTGAGAGCAGATGCTGGGGACTCACTGGAAGAAGGCAGGCTAACGGGGCAAGCAGTGCAGGTTTAAAACCACCAGGAAGTACCTTAGAACCTGAAAGTGGTGAATGAACAACGGCAGCAATTTCGCAGGTCTGCACCTCCTTTAACTGGCGATGCAGGACTTTGTTCAGTCGTACAGGGCTCTGGCATCAGGGCGCTGCTCGCAGCGATGCACGGTGCAGCCCAGTGGGAGAGCTCCCACTGCTCCTTATCTGCACCATCTGAACAAAACACCAACCTTTCAGACTAGATCTCCTCTGTTTATTTCCCGATTATTTCACTGATGGGAAAGTAGTTTACGTACTTCCTCTACTCAGAACATAAATAATTGAGCAAGGCTTTTGTTTCTAAAGGCTGTTAGAAGCCACCACGTGAGAAGGAAACCAGGATGCAGGCAGAGCAGCCCGTCCCTGGCCCTCTGCCCCATGCATGGGGATGGACACTATGACTACGTATCTGCTGCAATTCATATTCAAAATACAGCAAAACTAGACTACCTACTGTGATATTACCCAGCATGAGCTCTGCTACCACAGTGCCAAGGGCAAGGGAAGTAAAGTAAGTCCAGAACTGAGCTGCAGGGTTGGCTGCAGACAGCATCCTGAAATTTCTGAAGAAAACTCAGAAATATAGACCATCTTGGCCACCTAAGGCTAGAAAACACCACTGAAACAATACAGTCCAGCTTCCTGCCTTGCGGAGACAGAGGAATTTCAATAATAATCCCAGGAACGTCCGGTTTCCTTTTCTCTGCTGGAAGTGAATACGATCAAAAGAAGACTGTGAGCCTTTTTTCCCACCTAAAATTCTGGCTGAAATGGAAAAACTATCTGACCAAAATTCAGAACAACATTCTTGATGCTATAAATATAAGATCAGAGTTGATAAGTTATTGTAGAAGATTTTTATTTTCCATTGCAGTGGCACTACAAAGCATGACAAGCTGTTGCAATCCAACTGCGTGACTTCCTGCCATTCATCAGCACAACCCTGCTGTCACGTTTACCTACGGAAACAGCAGAAAACCTCTTTCACCCAACCTCTGTTGCTTCATTTACATCACATCGTGCACAAGGACTCCACACAAACTTTCAGATTTAATGAAGACTGAAAAAAATCTCAGCGGATGGGACAGGAGAGCAAAAGGAATCTCCTTTCCTCTCATCCTTCTAATAGCAGCAATTAGGACTCCAGAAGTGGTTGACACATTCACCAACTTCTTCCTGGAAATATGCCAGAGGCTCAGGAAAATTACAAGCTTGACTTTCCTGCTCACAAACGCATTTCAATGAGGCTCCACGGTAACAGCAGCAGCAGAATTACCAGGCACAGCAGATGTTGTTCACTCCCCACCTCTATGCTGCTGCCTGCCTGCTCTATCCACAGACACAGTGCAGCTTCTCAGGTAGCTGAGAGCACTTTTGGGACCCAATGCTGCTGGGAGCTGAACTCTGCCCATCACTCAGAGCTGGGTGCCCGAGAGCACTCAGGCAGCAAACGGAACAAGAAGAGCAGTAATGGAAGTACATCTGCTCTCTTTGCTATGTTTTCCAGGGCCTTCTGTTCTGGTTTTTGTGTGGTTTTTTTTTTTTTTTTTTTCCAAGTCCCACTGTTACTAACAGGTAATAAGGCATTTGACCCACCATAAAGCCACTTCACGGGTTGGAAAGTTGTACTAAGTCAACATTTTTCCACAATAGCATCCCCTGTTTGTCTGCCTCTCTGTGGACAGAGCCCTTACACTGCCCTTAGCTCTTCAGGTTCCACCATGCTCCATGCCAAGAGATGCTCACGGCACTGCCGAAACGGCCAGCTGAGCTTTGCTGAGAGCACTGCTTATGTGGTGAGCAGCAGCCCAGCTCCAGCCAGGATTTACATTGTACAGGACAGCAAAAAAAAAAAAGCGCTAGGGTGGCAGAACACGTGCAAACCAAGGAAGGTTACTGTAAGGCCACACACTTTTTATGGTGTGAATGAAACAACTTCCTTTAGAAACACTGTACGTGGAGATAACAATGCTGGCACTCAGTAGTAAAGATGGGCAGGACTCAATTCCTGTATTCCCCGCAAATGGAGGCGTAACATGCTCCAATGACACGCAAAGAGCACTTGAGAGCACTGTTGTGTTTTGGTTTTCTGTAAATTACTTCAAATTGCCTTCAGAAGCAAACTCTGAATTTCTCACTCATCCCACTAATCCTGCAGCTTCCCACAGCAGAAAGTGAAAAGCCCAAACTCCAACAGCAGTGATCCCGCGGGCTTTGCCAGGTGTAAGGCTTTGGGCAGCCATGGTGGACTCCACATGTAAACAGAATTAAAGCTTCAGCAATGTCACCCATGGCCCTGAGCTTCCTCTGGCTTTGACTTCACACCAGAACTTCACGTTTGGACAGCAGACACAGTGCAGGTCCCACTCCAAGGCAAACAGCCCAGGAATACCTTTTTGTTTCAGACTATGCACTCACCAGATTTCAGCTTTCTTTACAAGCAAGGCTAGTAACAAAGAGAGCCTCTTCTAAACTCCCAGATTTGCTTGTTGATTTTATTACCATCACCACCGCAGACATCTTCTATTTTGATGAAAATGCTTGATGAAATGTTCAGCATGAGCATGAAAGTCATTGCTCGGTCTTAGAAGAATATGAGATTAAAGGGTCAGGTCTCAAAGGGATTAGATCTTCTGGTAAGAAAAAGATTAAGGGAAAAGCTCGCACTTGGTTTTGAAGCTTTAAGAAGGGAAAAGAAAAAGGGAGGGAGGCAGGGAGCTGGCAAGGAAACGCGACCTCAATCTGAACTACCGCGTCAGACAAATCTCTTATTGCAGAAGCCAGAGGAATGCAGACCTGCTGGAAAAAAAGTAAAATCAGACAAAATAAGTAATAATCAGTAAACTTACTTTCAGAAAATCACCTTACGTTTAATCCTTATTCTTAACACAAATACAGTGTTTCTTATGTTGCAGAAAATTTCCCAAAAATGTGAAGAGAAGCAAAACTATTTTCTAGACAGTTTTCTTCAAGTCACCCCTTACCTCCAAAGAAAGCCCACGACCCCTTGAGCATAGCCAATGCTCAGAAATGCTGACCACACAATGGCAAGTCCAGCTTCATGCTAAAGCCCAAATAATTCCCATTGCTACATAACCAGCTTCTTTCTGAAGCTGGCAGCTAGGTACGCTGCAGAAGAAACACACTTAAATTATCTGAAAGTGTCCTTCACTGAAAACTCTTATAACCTCACGTTCATTAAGTACCATGATATAATAGTTGCAGAACTAACAAAAGTGACATTTCACTCCATTTTCTTAAAAACAGTGCTACTAGCAGGTAAGGTATTTAATGGATTGAGCCAGCAGGGTCAGAGATGGAATTTGGTGACTGCCCCATCGCAACTGAGTTTTCAAAATAACACATAAATGTTAAAAAAAAAAAAAAAAAAAAAGAAAACCCACAGAAGCCTATAAACCATGTGTTTATAGCAAGTACTGGCCAGACCTAAGCTCTGGTTTTTGATCAGTACAGAAATTTCATCTGAAAAACATTCCCCCTCGTCTCTTCTGTACGAACTTTCACACAGGTAAGCAAAACTACCAGCAGAACTGCCTGCTGTAAGCAAAAACAAATTCTGTCTATTCAAGGCACACACAGCAAATGCTCAAGCTCACCAGACAGCAGCACAGCAACTGCACACCAAGCTGCCATAAGGCTCACCAGTGTCCACGCCTGGTGCTGAGCAAGCATTTCATCCCACCATCAGCCTCTACAAGTACTATCTGCACCTTTAGGAAATGTGGCCTTAATAAGGGGGCAATCCTCGCATCCAGATGTGTGGAATGTCCATTTCTGTGCCCTCTGAGAAGGTCTCCCTGCCCACAGCCTCAGCGTGCTGGGCTCCCATATATCACACACGGTCTAGCAGAAAGCAGCCCTACGCCCGTGGTCAGCACCAATCGGAGCACTGGGCAAACATCTTTGCAACTTCTTACCGACTGCTGGTGACCACAGACAAAGGCATTTCACACCTCACAGAAAAGCTTTTCTACACTATAAAAATGATTTCCCACACCGCATATTGCAACTCTTCTCTAACTTCCTTTCCCTGCTGAAACAACGCACTAGAGCCTACTGTTCACTTAGCGCACTGAATGGAGCACGCATCAAGCCAAACTCTCTCCTAAATAAGAAAGAAAAAAGACTGTTGAATCAGCAGTGGCACACACTGCATTAAACTCACGCTGATCCAATGGCATACAACACTCGCTTTGTCCTACATGCTAGGTATGCACACGCCCAGGCAATGAAACCACGTATTTCATTAAATAATGCTGGGCCATAACTCACAGTTAATGTCTCGGCACAAATTAAAAGGGAGTTTAAACTCTACTTCCCCTCACTGATGAGTATCTCCGCTGGCCGCCTCGCCACCCTGGCAGGGTGCACAGCCACTAATCACTTCTGTTTTTACAGGGCCATAAATGGGCTGTATCATGTTGGAGATGACTGATAGCAGAGGCAAGGCGCTGGGATCTGCACTCCTGGGCAGAGGCACGTGCATGGATAGTACATTCATTCACAGCTATCTACATTTATTTCCACATCTTTCTCTTGAAGAATTTACCTACTAACTGATTTATATACTCAAAGTGAGGCACGGCATGTGGGGCAAAGTTACTTGGATTCCAACACAACTCCTAGCCAGCTGTAAAGACTGTGAGTGGCAGGGGAAGCTCATTCAGGATGATCTCCTCTGCTGTGCCAACAAGCAACAATCTATATCATTTAATTTGTATATATTTTCATCATGCTGAGAGTAATTTCCCAAATGCTAGTCTTTACCTGCTAATTGCAAGTTTATATTTTTACCAGTAATTGCTTTCACCTGCTGCTCCTGATGCTACAAACTTTAAAGGACTCAAACACTTTTTTTACCAAGAGAACAGTTCATCAGAGCACGTTGAGACGTTTCGCACTCTAATCAAGTCTTCTTGGCCCTGTGAGCCACAACATAAAAGTTAATCAAGCATAAAAGAAGTCAGGGATGTTGCTAGTCAAAACAGCCAAATTTTACAAGTCATATTTCTTAACTGCATGAATATTTCACATCTGTTGTTCATTTGTTCTTGCTTCTCTGCAATAAGACTGTAGAAAAATGTTTATTTGAAATGTCACCTTTAGCAATCTTCACACCAAGTTTAAGTTCAATAAGCTCACAGCACATTAAATTGAAAATTCGTTGTATGA